CTTTAATTTAAGTAATAGCTACTGAATAAACCAAATTAATATAAAACTGCAAGAAGTGTTTATGAACAAATAAAAAAAAATCATGATCAGTAGTTATACAAGTATGTTTAATGCTTATTTGTCATTATTATCGAGTTGAAAGAGCATGAGCCTGCTGCATTGAAACTGGTCATCTGATGGAAACATTGCACAGAGCCAATGAGAACACCATGTATTGAGGAATTTTGACAATAACTAAAGCCTTTCTCATTGTCCAAGCAAGAGAATGGGTGCCAGTCGTCACCAGAAATAACATAATGCCATAAGAGGCTAAGAGAAGTCAATTTGTTTTTCTTCTTCCACCAGATGTGATGGGCACCATATCATACGAAGAATTCACCGGGAGTTGCCTCGAGTTTCTCAAGTTGTCGCAAGAACTTCAGGATGGTTGGGAAGCCAAAGGCAATGCCCAACAAGAAGGAAACTTTTATCTCATGAAGTTGGAACGCGTTGAAGATGTTTTACAAGATAGTCTTCCTCCACGTGAGAAATACAGTGGGGATAAAGATGTTAATACTAAAGACAGTATAGAAACTATTGACATTATGGAAGAATGTGACGACCTATGTCCCGAAGATCCTTCAGTGATTGACAATGATTATTCAAAGACCATCATAACTTACGAATATCACATCACCTACAGTATCAGCTATTCTGTGCCGGTGTTGTTTTTCAATGCTTACAATCACTCGGGTAAACTTCTGACGCTCGAGGAAATGTGGAGAAGGGTAAGCCCGCAGCACAGCAAGCAGATCCTCCACCAGAAATGGGAGAGCCTGACGCAGCAAGAACATCCCGTGCTTGGGAGACCCTTCTATCAGCTACACCCATGCAACACGGCAAAATTGATGGCCGAGTTTAGCAAAAATCGCAAAGATTTAGTTACTCTAAAAGGCCTAAGGTACATGATCAGTTGGTTAAGTACCTTTGGACAAGTTGTTGGCCTGAAACTCCCGATAAGTTATTTTCAGTGATAAGTGTTAGGAAGATTTATAGATTAATATTTGATATTGTTGCCTAATGATTTGGTTTTACAAAAATATTAAATTTGGCATACATCAGATACTATTGCCAATTAACACAAGTAGATAAAAAACATGCATTGTATTTTCCTATATGTCTTTAGTTTACTTGTGGAATTCTAAGAACATATTGATGGGAACGTATTGAAATATTGATCGTAATAGATATTTTTTTCATATTGATTTAGATCTATATTATGAGTCTTATATTTTCTGAGTAATGACTAATGTCTTTAGTTATTTTGTGCAATGCCATACTTCTCTTGAATTATAATGTACTTATATAGAGAGATCCTATCCAACTTAATTACACTGTTATCTATGGATACAGATCTATATATTTAAGAAGAAAATTAATTTCATATATGTCTTTTGAAGCTTGTAAGTGTAATCTTTTAGTTTTGACTTCTGCATAGAAGAGTTATACTTTGTTATAAAAAATCCATCTAGTCATTTAAATTTTACACATATGAAGTCACTCATTTCAGTAGATGTATAAATAGAATATATCTAGTTACTCAGGGTAAAAAAGTATGTCATCGTATTTTTTCCAATTTTAATAAAACAGTCATACATAAATGCTTAAAAATTTTTAAAACTCAAGATCATTATTCACAACCATCAGTTCTTTTAACATTCTCCGTTTTTCTATAATATAAAGTTTGAACACAATATGGTTAATGAGATTTTTTAAACTTTAATTATAGTATATATATGTCAGCTTCCTTATAAAAAGCTTAGATGTATATAATTAACAAATAGTTTTTCTCAAGGATATATAAACTATTGCAGTCAAAAAGAAAAAGAAGATAAGAAAATCAATAAAATTCAATAAAATAAAAAAAGTAAATCAGTTTGCATTATTAGTACAAACATCATTAAAAACAGACAATGTAGTGATGCTCGTAAGAACGTATTACTATGCAGTATTTTATTGTCCCGGCTTTGGTACTGCTGATATTAAGAAACCAATGTGACCCTCGTTCGGAAAAGAAATTAAATCACTGCTGTGGATCTATTTAACTAGACTTGGGTCGGAATATCAGTTTACAAATTGACAGATTCTTTGAGCTGTCTTTATTCTTCCACCTTACTAACTAGATATTTACATTTTTTCCTCCCTTTTTGTTACTGATTCTTAGGCCTATACTTTCAGCTGACATAAGACACTTAGCATTAAAAAGTAGAGATAAGTGAGCATGTGCTATTGTGTTTGTAAAAACAAGAAAGTGAATATATCAACATTTTTTTTAAAATCTCATCACAGTAGAAATGGACACAGAGATAGGACACAATATAACGTGACAAGGAAGAAGAAGATACATGTATACACAAAGATCCTTAAATACTAAGCCATTTCATGACCTATCACATATGCACAGTATAAAATATTCATTGTCAAGAACATAATCCAGGATAAGCCACAGTAATAGTTCTAG